GCTTCAAATCACTTTTTTGAAATAGCAATAAAGCAGAGCCTAAACTAGAGCAGAGTCCCTGGACTTTAGTCAGTTAACAATCTATAAGCATTTATTAAGGGCTTACTACAGGGCAACCATAATATTAGGACCCAGAAATCCAAAGCAAGGCAAAAAATATCTTTCCAGCCTTTAAGGAGTTCACAGTCTATTGGAGAGATGCTACGCAAACAACTATCTATGTACATATCTATAATACATGTAGCAGGAACCTGAAGGCTTCTGGGAGAAGACAAGATTTAAGCAGAAGACTTGAAGAAAGGCAGGGAAGCTAGGAGGCACAGATGAGAAGGGAGACTGTTCCAGACATGAGGGTAAGGTGGTGGAAATGCTAGGAATCAGGAGATGAGGTGTCTTGTGGGAAGAACATCAAGGAGGCCAGTGTCATGGCATTGTAGAGTGGATAGAGGGGAATCAAGTTTGAGAAGACTGGAAAGGTAGGAAGGAGCTAGGATATGAAAGGCTTTAAATTCCAAACAGAGGATTTTATATTTAATACTGGGAATTTAATTTAATTTAATAGGGAATGATTGTAGTTATTTGAGTAGGGAGATTATATATGGTCAGATCTGAGCTTTACTAATATCACTTTGGCAGCTGATTGGAAGATGAACTGGAGTGAAGTGAGACTTTAGGCAGAGAGACTAACCAGCAAGCTATTTCAATAGTCTATGCCTGTAGTGAGTGATGAGGGCCTGTACCAGGGTGGTGGTGATAGGGTACAGGCCTAAGCCGAGACCTTTGCTCCTTACCTGAATTAACTGAGCCTTTGGGTCCCATTTGTCTATGGGATTCTCCTTGAATTCTCCCACTAGATCAAGGAATTCTCTGGTGGTCCAAGGCTAAAATCCAATCAACTGGCCTTTCATTGTGGCCTATGCCCAATCTCCCAATTTTCTGTTATTCTTAACCTAGCCCAGTCCCTCCATTGTCTATTACCTCTCTAATTGCCCCTGGCTATTTCCCACCCTTGACCCTATCTAGATCCCATTCTCGACCTCCCAGTCACTCCCATCAAGATCCTTCCTAGATACCTCCCACAGTCTTTCTGTATATAAGGTCCATCTTGTCTCCATTAAGGTACTCAGATTGTCAACCTAGCCAATGCCTCACAAGTGTTCATATTCCTTAAGAGTCTGGCTAGTATGGCCGATCTTTAATAAACCTTGTCTTTGGCTGAAAGAAGGCTTGGGTCAAATTTATTCGGGCAGGACTCAAGTGTTATAATTATGGGGTCCCAGCACCCCTAAACCTCTAGACCTCAACAATGGCAATGCCAGAAAAAAGGAAGACTACAAGAAATTTTGTGAAGATAGAATTGACAGGATTTGACAACAGATCAAAGGGTGGGTGTGATGAATGAATCAGGAGTCAAGGTTGACTCCTGGATTGTGAGCCTGGCTAATTAAGATTATCTAATTTAACAATTGTTCTGAAGGAACTGTTTGTTTTTCATTTTAATTTGGCACTGTGAGAGGCCAAGCAGAATTTTGCCCCATGGATTTTGTTGTGTTTCTATGGTGCAAGACTATTGAGGGAAGCACTTCAAGAGAGAATGCTTAATTCTCCACAGGAGGCCAGAGACATTTCTGGAATTAGGAATGTGGCAAAGTGCCCACTTACCCCAGTTAATTTGCTAAAGACAGGTAGGAGTACTGCGCAGGTTTAAAGTTTTCATGCTCACCCCCTAAATGTGAACAATAACTCTCTCTGAAAATTCCAGTGAAGGACCCTGACCCCTGAGGGATGCAGGCAAAAATCTGCTACCCTAGCAGAAATAGCTACTTCGTATACATGGTAAAAAGAGCACATGCACTGGCCTAGAGGAGTCTTTAGCTTTGGGCGTTCTTATTTCTCTTTTTTCTTCTTCTGAGCATAAGTGGGCAATCCTGAGATGGATATTCCTAGTCTCCGTGGCCACCCTTGTGAGTTTGGGATGTCAAGAGTTCTTGAGTTTCTAAGTATGTGCCAAATAGCAGGAAACAGAATTTCTTGCATTAGAGATTATCATCACTGACAGGAAGGGGAACCCAAGGCCTCCTGGAGTCAGTCAGAATCCTTCGGAGTTGGCAGAACCTTCCTAGGTCAGACTGTCTTGCCTGGGGTCACTCACATAATAATAAATAGGTAGCATTTATATCACACTTTAAGTTTTGCTAAGCTCTTTACCTTATTTCATTTGATCTTCACAAGAATCCTATGAGGTAGGTGATATTATTACTGCTATTTTACAAATGAGGTAACTGAGCCTGACAGAGGTAAATAACTTGTCCAAGGTCACATAGCTGATATTGAGTTAGGATTTGAATGTGAGTCTTCTGGACTCTCAGTGCAGCCCTCTACTCACTCACTGTTCCATCTAACTATGCAGCCAGAACGTGTCAGCGGCCAAGTCATCCTGGCTTCAAGGTCAGCTCTTCACTCATAATGGTGTGTCATCTCTCAATCAAGTGATAAGGAGAAAGTGCTTAGTTTTCTTTTGTTTTTAGTTTGTATTCCCAATGCTTAGCATAATTCCTGGCACTTAGTAAATGCTTGTTCATTATTGATGGTCTCTATCTAGGGCATTATAAACACACATACACACACATATACATAGACATTCCATTTCCTGAGTTCAAATCTGGCCTCATACACTCATTAGCCATGTGACCCTGGGCAAGTCACTTAACCTTCTTTGCCTTGTTTTCCTCATCAGTAAAATGAACTGAAGAAGGAAATGGCAAAGCACTCCAGTATCCTTGCCTAGAAAACCCCAAATGGGGTCACAAAAAGTTGGTCTTAACTGAAAAATGACTCCACATAAAATAAGGTATAGTGGGATAGGAAATGAGGGACTCTAATTTACATGACTATTCATATGTAATTGTGGATAAGAGAAAGCTGTGCAAATGGGACATGGAATCCTAGCCATACACATTTTGAATGCCATTATAACTCAAAAGCTACATCTTTATTTGTGTAACAGGGATTACTCTGCTTGAATAACCACATGTGTTACTCCTGCAAACATATTCCAACCACATTTCTGAGACATGTGGCTTTATTCCCCCATTTTGTGAGGAAGAGGGAAGACTGCTCCTCTGCCCTGTCCTTCATATCTAGTTGGTCACCAAATCTTCTCATTCTTTCCCATCTAACCCTAACCCTTTCTTTTATCTATTTCATTCCATCCTCATTTCTAGCACCTGGACTTTTATCACCTAAAAAATAAGCTACTACTATAGTCGCCTAATTGGTCATCCTATCCTCAGACTCCCTGTATTCATTCCATCTTACACATCATCAAGACTAATATTCTTGAAACTATTTTGATGCCACATTTCCCTGTTTTCCTAAAAACTCTCAATGGCTCCCTAATGTCTACAGAATTAAAGTTTCTTAATCTAACACTCAAGGCTTTCCACAATTTATCCCCAGCGTTATAGTCAGTCCACTCCTCTAAAACCACACACCACCTCTTGCTTCATACACATTGGATTACTTGTCGCCAAAACTATACCTTGTGCTTTCTTATCTTTATATCCATTGTTAAAAATGAGTTCCTTGCTGCTTTCTGACTATATGTAACTTCTCTATCTTTCAACACTTCTCTGGCTTAATCTCCTGACTGTATAAAACTACTTTTCTACCTCTTTCCCAGTAGCCTTCACATGCCTGAAACACCTTCAGCCTTGCTATCTTCCTCTACCTTACATTTGTGGGTTCAACCCCAGAACCCCCACTTGAGGAAGAACCCACACTTATTCAGTTCACTCTGTCTCCCCACCTTCTGCACTATCCACCCTCCTTCATCCCTTTTATGTTATCTTCCAGCTTTAGAATATAAGCTCCTTGAGGCCAGTGACTTTGCATTTGTATTTCCAGAGTTTAGTACAGTGCTAGACACAAAATAAACATAATAAATGCTTTATTTAATCTATTCTAACCCAAAGGGAATCTCACGCCCTTAGCAAAACCTTATCCAACCACCTCTAGCCAAAATAATCTTTCTCCAACTCTTACAGTTTTGTCTATACCACTTCATTTGGCATTTACATACTGCTTTATAGTACTACTTTTTTTTTCTGTATACATATACTGCCTCTCCAACTAGACTGTAAATTATCTGAGGGCAGCAATCATGCCTTCAACTTTTAGGTGGCCCCTGAAACATCTATATATTACCTGGTACAGAGTAGTAGAGCAATAAAAAAAATCTATTAGAAAGTTCTGAAGTGTGGTGGGGATAAAAACCTCAACTCCATTACTATTTAATGAAACAGATTTCTGAGGAAAATAAGTTATCTGTATTCAATTGACCACTAGATATGACTGAACATTCTTGGAATTGCTTTTTTTCCCTCCTATTTTCTATCACTGATCCATGCATATTTGTTTGTAGGTTTGGGAGAAATGGTATATTAAAATTAAGCATTTAAGCTCTTTTAGAGTTCTATCATTATTATTAGTAAGGTACTTAAATTTATATTGTAGAACTATGGGTGCAGAATAACACCTACTTTATAATACTAGATTATTTTGTCAGCTTTGACTAATACTTTTCTTTATTATAAGAAACGGTATACTGGGAAAAGACTGCTGTGAAAAAGAAACCTCAATAATACAAAAAGGAAAAAAAGTTTATTGTTGGCATGTGTTAGAACCAGTAATTTTGAGGTTGAACAACCTAAAAAAAATTAAACTCTGAATGTTTCTTTCTAGCTGTGAAAATAGCCTTCTAAGAGAAGAATTATTTAGGCTCAGATGGTTGTCATCAGGGACAGAATAGTTGGGTGAGTCTAAAGAAATCAGACAGTTGTGTGGTGTTCCCTCCAGGGTGGTCTCTTCATAAACTTTGCTTTAAAAAATATTCTTCTGTTTTGCTGAAGAGTAGATTATGTACATCTAGTCAGGAAATTACCTTTATAACTAACCTAAATTTATAGAGTTGTAGTTTTAGAAAAACAAATAACAAAAAATTAGGCAAAATAAATACTTTATTGTTTTAATTTTTTTTAAAGAAATCAGCCTGTGTGATAATCCAAACATTTATAAACCTTTTAGATATACTTCTTAAAAAGAATATTATTACTTTAGCTATTTTTTTATTAAGAATTTAAACTCAAAATTAATAGAAGTTGGAAGTTATAAACACATGAGAATTCCAACAAATGTTCACATGCTACTTTACACATCGATTTGACCACATACAAAACCAAACTGTAGCCCCTTTTATTTCATTTCCCCCCCTTTGGAACATGTTTTTGATGATAAAAACTGAAATAAAATCATTTGTGGGGCAGAAAAAAAAATCTATATTTACTTTCATTTTTCCACAAAACAACTGTTTCTCCATCCATTTCTATCTATTTCATGTCACAAGTTCCATTATTTTGACATTGATTAATTTTGTCCGAGACAAAGAAAAGGAAACTTTTCTTAATATAATACAAAACTATGGCCAATGCAAAAAATGCATAGTGTTTAAAATAAGGCAAATTAAAAAAAAAAGAATACTATATAAGCATAATAAAATTAAGTTTAATTGTTTTGTGCAGAGATAAGGCTTACAGTGTAAGAACTTTAAGTAGTTTTAGGTTATTTCATTAATTCTAAACACACTGTTACTGGTAACTTCCCCAAGAATTCATAGCAATTTTTACAAAAGAATATTTTCTTCTTCTTGGGAGTGGCAATAAGTAACAGCAGTGGAAAAAAAATCATTGGTTGTTTCAAGCTCTCAAAAACGAATCAGTTATTGCACAGTAAATACCTCACAGAGGTCAGTGTTTTAAGAAGCTAGACAAAAGAAATATGTTATTTATAAGTCTGTTAAGTCTGGAAGTCTTCAAGTTTGAAAATATAATTCTACACAGGGAAACAAATGGAAAATAGACATACAAATAAATATTAGGTTTTCTTTTAAATTGCCAGAGTCTTGATAGTTTAGAAAAGCCATAAATTCTACAAAGTGCCTAAATGTCTATGTATGGTTAAAAAAATAAAAGATATGCATAGAAGAAATAAACATTGTACATTGTATACAGTAACCCATCTCAGCAGCAATAGTGTCGCCTGAAGTACAAGTAAAAGATAACTTGACACCTCCACCAGTGTACACCGTCATAATTCCAAAAGTCCACAATTAATCTGGTCCACATCAACCTTTGGAGGGAAAAAAAAGGAGAAGAGGAAGAGAGAATATTACTATTTCTCTCAAATATTAATATTTAAAAATTATTAACTACTGGGAAAAATATTCCCTTCTAATGGTATTGCTCTCAGCCCAAGGATTTAAATATCTATAAATAATTGATTAGTTATAATCACTTCATTACTATGATATGGTCTCTAAAAATAAAATATGATCTAGACTTCATCTAAATATGTAACAGCCCCATATTTATATTTGTCAAAATAATAATCCCTCTAATTTTCTGTAATTACTAAACACTCTTTTCAAACTGTCATTAGAAAGATTTTTTTCATAAGTGTTATCAGTGAATATGTGACAGATGTATGAGAACCCATCATTTATGTATGTTTCAAACTGCCCATGATTTCTATGCTGATAGCTAAATCCTAGTGAATTGCCTGAGGTACACAGAGATTAAAAGACTCATTCAGGATCACAGGTTAGCCAGTATGAGAGGTGGGATTTGAAAACAGATCTTGCTGATTCCAAGCCCAGCACTTTTATCAATCATTCCTATGATCTGCCTTTATCACATTATATTCATATAGTGTTTGTGCAGTATGTGCATGTCGGCATGTGTGTGTGTGTGTGTGTGTGTGTGTGTGTGTGTGTGTGTGAAGGAGTCAAATTTGCTAGTGTCATATTTTTCTACACTGTCAACATTATAGTGAAAAAATATATGTCTTTTCAATAAACTATTAAATATCCATATACGTTTGTGGAATAACATATTTTTTGACAAATTCAGATATATCTGGATATAAATGCACAAGACAGAGTTCTAAGAAATTATCACCATAAAAAGACAGTTAGAATGTATTTATGTTTGATCCTCCAAATAAACTTGAGAAGTCAAATCTTACTATAGCACATACAATTACCACACCACTCCATCAGAGCCCAAAATGTGAAGGCCATTCATTTCAAGCAATAAGTCAATACAACAAAATTATACACAAAGAAAGAATCTGGCTAGTCCCTTCAAGTTCACTATCATAGTTGACTTGCAAAGACTTCCAGATAATTTCTGTTACCTGTTATTGTTAGATATAAAAGAAATAAAAATTTCCTACTAATGTCTCAATTACTATGAAAATAGCAGCTGCTTTTCAGAGCTTTAATTTGCATTGAGGTCTGTGTGGCAAATTTAGAAAACTTACCTGTAATACCCATTTATGGCTATTTATCTTGTCTAGAATTAGCAGTCCTACTTGAGGAAGATACTGCTGCTAAAAGTCCACTGACAATTTCACGCCTGATTTCCCCAGCAATAGATTCTTTAATCTAAAATGAGAAAGAAAGGGTGTGGGAAGGATTAAAGACAATTCAATTTTTAAATAACCTACAAAGATTTCCACTTCTGGGAGCCAAGATGGTAAAGTAAGAAGTAAGTCCCTCTCACCCTACCTCATTGACCTCTGAAAGCCCAGAAAATATCGACTCAGGAAAAACTCTGAGCTAAGAAAAAGACAGAGAGCAGCAGTCTTGTAGCCCAGGAAGCTTCGGTGTATTAACAGGAAATGTCCCTCTTGCTCTGGGGGAGGCGGAGCAGTACAGAACGGGAGGCATCCCATCAAACCGGCGGCAAGCCCCACTTCAGCATACTAGGGGGAGATCCTGAGACCCAGGTTGGTGGAGCAGGCAAGCGCCAACACCAGGACCCCTAAGAGCCTCAATACATACAGGGGAACTGGTAGAGACAAGCTTGGAAAACCACATGGCAATGGCGTCACCAGCAGCCAAATCACCCGGTGCCTCAGCACAACTCTGGGAAGCACAACTTCAGGAGGCAAAGCTCCAGGCTGACAGAAATCCACTAGGATTGAAACATCCCTACACAAGACCTACATGAAGGCCAAATATTCAAGTGTCCCCTTCGCTTCAGCACAAGAGCTTATCTTTTTTTCTTTTCTTTTTTTTTTTTAAAAGTCAGGAAATAGGCAAACACCATGAACAAAAAGCAGAAATAGACAATGACCATAGATTCTTATTGTGGGGAAACGGAAGATCAAGGCACAAATTCAGAAGAGGACAATATTGTCAATATACCCACATCGAAACCTCAAAGGGGAATATGAACTGCTCTAAATAACCTACCAAGATTAGGAACTACATTTAACACGCATTTAATTATTAGTTTGTTAAATACTGTACAAAGTACAAAATGTACAGTCTTTTCTCATTCACAGTATATATCAAAAACCAATATAAAATACAAACACATTGGATAAGATCACTGATACAAATTTTGTATCATATAAGTTATTTTATCTAGTATTTATTAGTAAATAGAATAAATTCTTTTCACATGAAAAATTTCATTTGAAACTGTTAAAAAGTAACAATGGATAGACAAAGTACCAAGAATTTCTATTTTTTGAGTAAGGTTCTTTTACTCACTTTTTTCAGTTTTATATAAACAAAAGATCAAGTAAAGATTTAAAAGCCCTTGAACATCCAAGTTACAGATGGAATCTCCTTCAGGTTTTAAAAGGTAACCTATACTAGAACCTGATTGACTTTCTAGGGCACTCTTCAAAGTCTGTTCCAAACCTTTTCTTACATCACTGACATCATTCCCTCCTTCTTCTATTCCTCTTAGCAAAGGACCTCTTCTCAATATTTTAGTGAGAAAACAAAAGCAATCCTTTATGAGCTCCCCCTCTGCACTCCACTCTCTCATTCTCTATCTCACATCTGCAATCTGCTTTTCCAAGGCCAGCCCCTCCACTTGTGTCTATTATCCTATCTCTTTTGAGAACTTGTTTCTTTAATAACCTTCTCTATCTTCCTGCTGCCTACAGAATTTACTTAGATCTTACCCGTCCTAAAAAAATAGAAAAACCTGACCCTGCCATCCCTTCACCATATCATCCCTTCTCTCTTTCACATACAAACTCCTAGGAAAAGATGTATTTACATTCATTGCATTTGCCTTATCCTCTGAACATTGTTCAGTGCATATGACTTCTGACCCCACCATTGGGCAGAAATTGCTCTTTTCAAGTTTACTAATGGTCTTTTAAAGGTAAAATCCCATGGACTTTTTCTCTGTCTTCTCTAACCCCAACCCTTCTAGTCAGACCTCTGAAACACTGACATTTCTGACCAACACCTTTCCTCTTCTGGATAATCTTGCCTTTCAGAGCTTTCCTAACACTGTTCTCTCCTGGTTACCTTCTTAAGGTAAAAGAAGGGAATAAACATTTAAATAGAACCTACTGTGTAACGCACACACTGTGCTAAGTGCATTCACAAATCCTTGGAATTCTCTTCTGCTAGATCATCACCCATGCACTGCTCTCAACCATCACAGCAGTGGGAGCTTTGAGCTCTGTCCTCTTCCCTATGCTCTCTTTTGGTGAGTTCATCAGACCTATACTGGTTTTCAAATCTACAAAGCTAATCCTATCCTCTCTTCTGAGCAGCACTCATTTCCACATAAATGTCTCACAAGCATCTTAAACTTGATATGTCTAAAAGAGACCTAATTATCTTTTCCTCTAAATTGACTCCCTTTCCAAAATTCCCTATTTATCAGCCCAGGGCACTCCCATCCTTCCAGTCACTCAGGTTCAAAATCCTGTTGTTATCTTTCATTCTTCACTCTCTTCCGGTTTCAAGTCTTGTCCATTCCACCTCCACAACAAAGGAGGTATTTTTGCAAAGGATCTTTGATGTCATCTAGTCCAACCCCTTCACCTTACAAATGAGAAATCTGAGGATCAGAGAAGTGAAGTGACCCATCTCAACCACCCTCTTCTATCTACACCACAAATCTGGACCCTCATTACATTTTGCACTAGTGTATTAGTTTCCCTGCCTCTAGCCTTTTTTCCTCTCCAATCCATCCTCTACACAGGTGCCAAATTGATGTTCCTAAAGGAAGAAGTCACTGCCTTGCTCAAGAAGTTTCAGCAGCTTCCTATTGCTTCAAAATTAGAATATGAACTCTTTGTTTGGCATTTAATGCCTTTCTCAATCTGGCTCCAGCTTACTTTTCCAGGTCAAACTGGTCTACCTATCTACATTCTATGTCTTAGCTCTGGCCTCTGCACAACCGTCCAGTCCCCTGTAGCTAGAATATTTTCTCCTGACCTTTGCTTCTTGGAATTCTTATCTCTCAAGGCTCAGCTCCAGATACCTCCTACAAGAGGCCTTTGCTGATCCACCCAGCTGGTGCTGCCTCCCTCACTGAAATCCTTTTGTATTTACTTGTACAAGTTTCTTCAGCTGGAAGAACCTGAGCTCCTTGAGGACAGGGACTATTTGTAGAAATCATACTAGGTACTTAATACATACTTATATAGTTGAACTAAATGTAGTAACATCAAATCAACCTAATGATAAGCCTATAACAAAAGCACTAGATTATTCTGCAAAAGCATTAGCTTATAGATAGAAAGTGATACAAACTAATGCCACTTTTTTTTAAGTGAACTGCAAAAGCTTTTCTTAGGATCCAACGTGACCATGAAAAAGAAATTAACAGAATAAATCTACTTTCATATTTTTCTTATGGTATCTTCTGTCCCTTTATGGTTTAAAATGTTTATAGCTACATAAGTAAAATAACAAACATCCGATAAATAATCACCATTAGCAGCAAAATGACATAAATGTAATATTTGTTCCTGATGAAAATAAAGTACCTAAAAGGCATATTTATGTACTATAATTTACCATTCATCTTTTTTTTTGCTTTTTTTTTTTGGTGAGGCAATTGGGGTTAAGTGACTCACCCTGGGTCATACAGCTGTTACGTGTCAAGTATCTGAGGTCAAGTTTGAACTCGGGTCCTCCTGACCTCAAGGCTGGAGCTTTATCCACTGTGCCACCTAGCTGCCCCAACCATCTATCTTTTTAAAGGGAGAAACTGTTGTTTAGTATATTTCATCAGAAAACTTCCTTGCGTACTCTAACATCTAAAAACACCAGAGACAAATTTCTAGACAATTCATTTTAGTATATTTTCCACATTTTTCTTTTTTTTTTTTCCCTTCAGGGTACCACAGAGATGCTATTTTATTCTTAGTAGGGGTATAGTACACTCAAGAAAAATAGCAATTCTATCAGTGTTTCCTTCTTTAGATGGTCAGACACTGAGTATACTTGTCCAAACCTTTCTTTGCAATTACATAGCATCACCTCCAAATAGGCCCCTTGTAAGAAGCTATAAACGTGTACTTCCTAAAATAAGTACAGTACAGTAAAATAAACTGATAATGCCTTCCCAAATTAGCACTTAAGATACTCTCCTCTAGCTTTTAAAAATTCTACTTTCTATGCTTTCCTGTTAGCCCCATCCATTTCCTAAAGCGTTTCTAAGTACATCCTGAACAGAATTTAATTGAGGAACATCCAGAAATGGTATTTCATCTATCTCTTTCATGTCAAGTGGAAGTATATTATATAAACTTAGCAAAACCTACTAGTTATTGCTGTTAAAGTTAACTGAAGAAATAATCATGTGCATCATATTACATTGAAACATACACATATTTTTATTCCCTTTCCTATTCTTACTCTTTAAGCAGTAACAAGGATCTTGTGATAAGAATAAGAGCTTTTCAGAATTACATTTTTTAATGAATTAGTGTTAGATATATCTATTGTAAAGATCAGAATTCTTTACTTAGCTACAAGATATAAATAAGGAAAATGGTTAGTAATTAAAGTTTCTATGAAAACTGTCTCTATCCCAGTCTCAATGCCAAGTCATTCATAACCTTTACGATTTTTCAATATTAATGAACATTTTACTAGTCAATCAACAAGCATTTCCTGGGTGCTTACAGGAAACCCTACACCATCCTAGTGCTATAGGGAATATGTTTTTAAAAGAAACCCTAATAGAATAAACAAACACTATAGGCTTAAAAAAAGTAAGAAGAAACCTCCAGGGGAAAGGAATAATACTGCAATTAACAACTACACTCCCAGAAATAAGAAAGTATAACTGCAACACCCTGCAGAATAGTTTAAGAGGCTTGACAAATGAATTAAAAGGAAAATATGAGTTCTTAAAGAATTCAAAGACACAAATAAGAGAATGAAATAAAGTAGAAACCTTTCTTAAAATCCAAGTTTAGTGCAAAGCATAGAGAAACTATGCTAATAAAACCTCTTCCAGAATTAATCCTGTCCTATGTGACAATAATCAAATTTCTAACTTATTTGATATTTTAGTTATTCCATTAGGAAAGGTAATACGATGAGGGTTATTACTGACAGTTTCTACAGAGAGACAGTATTACACATTGATAAATAGAAGGCCTCAAAGTCAGGAATTAACCAATCATGCCAGACACTGTGACTCTAAGCATTGAAAACTGAAAGAAAAAACAAAAATGGTTATTGCTCTCAAGGAGCTTACATTCTAATGGGTAAGACACCATGTACATAACTAAGGTCCAAGTCCTTCCTCTGATGCAAACTGGCTGTGTGACCCTGAGCAAGTCATTATGTTCTCAGTGCTCCAGCTAGTTCTGATTGTTACTCACCCTGAATTCCTTTTACCAATGAACTGACAAGTCTGGACATTTCCTTTTCCTTTCCTCCTTCCCCCAACTATTTGGGCTATTCCAATGAAAGAGCATGAAATAAAAGAAGTGTTTAATCAGTAATGGTACTGCTACAATGGACTGATCTTGAGAATACAATTTTCTTCATAAGTAGTTTATTTTTACTCTACTCAATTCAACAGATTGAGCACCTGCTATGTGCAGGACAAGGTAACAGATGCTGTAGAGTATACCACTATATTAAGAAACACATGGTCCCTGTCTGTCCTTAAGGAGTTAACAAATCAAATAAATGTAGGGGCTTTGGAGCACTGTGGAAAGGAGATCAGAATACAAGGTAAGGAGAAAGACTAAGTTAAATTCTAAAGTCAGTGGATCTTGAGTAGTCAAAAGTAGCTAATGACAGAGTGGTACAGATTTTTTTCTCTCTTAAGTTGCAAAAAGGATAGAGGATAAATGACCTAGAAATACTGACAAGCAAGGATATGATCTCATCACTTTACCAACTGAATTGGAGGGACTGGGAAGTGAGGCTTCCATGTGAAAGGAGAAAACACATAATTTTGGAGAATCATATTTCAGTTACAGCACGGGGGTGAAAGGAAGAAGGTTAGGATTTAGAGTGTTTGCTCACAATAAAAAAGGTTAAAGCATAAAAAGAAATAAAAAGGGGGGGAAAGAAAGAATATACCTATTGGGATAAATTGGAAGAAGACAGGATGTTTCATACAAAGGAAGTAGAGAAAAGAGATTTTACCCAGATAATCTGGATAACAAAGCATTCAAGGGGGTGATAAGAAGTGGAATGGAGGACTGAAAAACGTTGGCAGTAGAGGAAAAAATGAGCACTAGGTCCAGGAGGGAATGATAGGATACCGTTATTATTGGAATACATCAAGTTAATAAAGGACAAGACTCAATTTAGTGAAGTGATGGGAAAGGTAATGTAAACACAGACAGACACAGTTCAGTGCTGAAAGTGACAACTTCATACAGAAGTGCCTCTGAAAACCTTACACCCTATGGTGTTTAGAGTAATTTAGTGTTCTCTATTTAGGTAGCAGTAGACTCCCCTGAAAGTGGGGGAGAGCATCTGATTCCTGGGGTAAAATCCATTTTAGGAGCAATCTGGTATATATAAATACATCTATCCACTAAGATTGAAACCCATGACTAAATCCTAGGCCAGGATACTGTCAAAATGGATTTGAAGCAAAAAAACTCATTACTTACATAGTTACGTATCATTCAATTTCAACAACCTTTCCATGGGAAAAAGTTGCCTTTTTCATATCAGAAAGAAATTACAATAAAGCTAAGTAAAACACCTGCTATTTAAAATTATATTGGCAGAGTTGATGTTTAAGAAAAAACTTAAAAGTGATAAACCAAAGCATCGATATTTCAATGAGGCAAGGAAGAATTCTCATAAAACAATGCAACTACTTGTTCAGCATTTGACATTTAACATTGAATTAGTTTCTGTGGGAACATATTCAGCTATTCTGGTAAGTAGCTTTGTATTTTTTAATAGCAGTAAACAGTTATAGGCCATTGCTCACGTACATTACAACCCACCCAAACATATCCTAAGGCAGCCTACCTTCTTCCTTCACAATGTAAGGTCACATAAAACAACAGAAAAGGATAAAATTTAAATCACAGAAAGGTCTAGTGACTGAACAAGGGTATCAAGAAAGCTGTTAAAAAGGAATATTGTACTTCAAGTGTTCTGTCACTAAAGCTGAATTCTACTAAAGCAATGCATTTAACATCACCATTTTTTCCCTCCCAAAATTTGGTCTATAGGTTATAGTGATTCAATTCACTTTAAAAGCTTATTGAACACCTCTGTGAAAGGCATTGGGAATACAAAGACAAAATGGAAAATAATCCTTGCTCTCAAAGGACTTTTTTTTTTAATTTTTTAAATTTATTTTTCTTTCATTTTTTTTTTTATGTGGGTTGTCTTAGGGTTGTTTCCAACCCTGAGATTTTGTGAACCTTCTTTTCTAACCAATGGGGAAGAATCCAAGTTCTTAGTGCCTTATAGATTTTGAAGTCTAACCTCTGCTGGGCAAATACTGAATAAAGGAAACGATGGACTGCAAAGATTAAGTCAAACAAGGATTGAAGCCATCAGAACAGTTGTCTATCTTCAGATTCTTCTTTCATTAAGTGATATATACTCCTATAGTTCTATTAACTAGACTGCCAAAAATACCCTGAATTTTGTGACTCCTCCCAGCTAACAAAATTCCCTTTCCAACAGGAGAACAAATTTAATGCAATTTTTGGGATTAAATCCAAAACATAATCCAAATATCCTATTATTCACATTTCTTCCCCTTCTCTATTGTCATTCAGCTGATAGGTTTCAAAGTCTCCCCACACCATTTCCCACCTACAAAAAGAAACTAAATAGAACAGATTCTTTCAATCCCTTACTATGATATACATATTCCCTTTATTCTAATAATGTTAGTTTAAATTACAAAAGTAAAAAACAAATGATGATTTACTCTCACAAATGAAATACATGAAGGGAAGTAGTTTTCCGCTCAACATCAGTCCATAAACTTCTACATTGTGCTGGGAAATGTATTTTCAAAGTTCATGAACTTCTTTCCCATTATAGATTTGGCTTAACAGATACAAATCAACCAAAAAGCACTTGCAAAGTTCCAAATACATGCCAAACACTGTACTAGGTAGTGAGGGTAAAAGACAAAAAAATTAAATAGTCCTTGCCCCCAAGTAGGTTACATGCTATTGGAAGATACAACACAGGAGTTTGGGAGAATCATGGGAGGACAGGTGGGAATCTGGAAAAGCTCCCTATAGAAAGTAGTGCTTAAGATGAGTCTTGAAGGGCACAAAGGATTCTAAGAGGAAAGGAAGATGGCAGTACATGCTAGGCATAGTGGAAAATGAGTGCAAAGGCACAGAGACAGGAAATAGAATAGAAACAAAAGCAATTTGGTTAGCCCATGCATGAAGGAAGGAGAACCATGTATAATAAGTCTTGGAAGATAAGTTGGCACCAAACTTTAAAGGCTTTAGAAGTCAGAGAAGTTTATATTTGACCCAAGAGGCAATAGTAAGCCACTTAGTAGATGAATGAAGAATCACTTACTCAGTATACAACTCAGCTAAAAGATTTTCTGAAAATCATATCAACACAGGGAGTCACAAGTATTTCTTAAATCAGTGAGCTAAGTTTAAATAAAACCTCCAACCTTTACAAGGCACCCACTTAAAGCAATTAAAACATACTTTACTCACCTCCCGTATGACTTGCTGTAACTCATCATGCTCCATATTTTTCTGACTTTCCTCAGAAGCTGGCAGCAATGGCACATTTTCAAGTTTTTCTTCCATTTCAGGTTTAGATTCCACAGACTCTATAGCTTCTTCAACTACTCTAATTTCCTCAGAATTTTCAGGAGCTGGAGGGGTCTGCTCTGAGCCCATTCTGGAAGGAGCAGTTGGTGTTAAGGCCACAGAAGCTCGAAATACCTTTTTGCTTGGCAGATGGGTCTTGGCCTTGCCAACTGAGTCAGCAGAGACTACTCTTCTATTTACACGAGAGGGACCAGAACACACGGAGGAAGAATCTGATGTGGCTTGAGAGAAAACAGATTCTGAACTTTCTGCAGGAGGAATTTCAAAACCCAGTTCTCCAAGCCCTAGCCCCAGTTCAGACTTCAAATATGACTGCTCTTGCATCAGTTCAGTGACCTAGAAAATCAGAGAGTAAGTTATTGTATTCTCTCCTTGAGAGAAAAGAAAACAATGATTCCCAACTTAAAGGAATAAATTCCCAGCAAGTGCTACGATAGTAAACAAAAACAAAACCACGATATATACAGATACCACTTCATTAATTTAGTCATTATAAACATTGCCTTTGTTATATGAACAAGTAAAACTTAAATACTTTGCAAAATATGACATAAATATTAAAAGTGACCCATGAAATGCAATGTTTTATTGTAACTTTCCTGTTATAACAAAGGCATTCTGAAATCTAACCGTTGAAAACTGACTATTAAAAATGCTTCCTCTCCACAAAGTGACTTCAAGTCATTTAAAAAACTTCAAAAGAAAAGTCAGAATATGATTCAGAGACTCAATAACTTTTTATTTTATTACTGTTAAAAGATATAGTATTGAGCCTGAATATGTAAATTCCTTAAAAGGTATGTTAGGTACTTTTGATGATGTGTTTTATTCTTTGAGCCATAAAGAGAAATCACTGTGGTTAACTAAATAGCTTTCTAAACAACCAAAGCTGTACAGGACTTTCAGAATGTCAAACTTACAATCCAGGCAATTTTCTAACTTACCTAAATTCTATATAGTTTAATATACTACATCTACACTAAGAAGGATCTATGTTTACGAAATGCCATCATCTTGTATCATTCCCTTCCCCAATGATTTAAAAGCAGAAAGTCTTACTGGTTCCATTACATTCAATGGAGAAGGGCATGACAAGTTATCAGCACTTCTACTTCCATACATTCCCTAGAAAAGTAAAAAAAAAATTGTTTTTAAATTTCAAATATTCCTATACAATACTAAAAGGACTTGGTCGAACACTATTTGGAGAAGCCTATATGGGTAATAGAAGTCACTTCCAACTTTCATAGAATTTACTAAATAGGAGTGACTTTAATAGCTGTTATCAAAATAAGATTATATCATAACCATTATGATTCTATTTTGTCACAGACATGCATATAATTTCTCAAAGTAATTTGCTATTACTTTAAGCCGACTTCAAAGTGAACCAAAAAATCAATTTATGGGTGTTGGGAGATTTACATAAAATATATTAACAGTTCTAATCCTATATTCTTCTGCTCTACTTAGTTTTAATTGGTTGCTAGTTAAAGTAATATATTCATAATGAAAAGCCATTTATTTTAGAAAAGTACATTATGGTTGTTGGAAAGGGGGAAACTATAAAGACTCAAATTTCACAAGAAGGATATTTAGAAATATGGACAGTGGTAGAAGCAGTAAGAAAATAAATTCCATCTCTTTTCTCACTCTCTTATTTGTGCATTCCTTTTGAAAATGTTCAGCCTAAAACCTCAATTGATTGGAATCTAGCACACATGAAAAATAAGGAAAGGAAAACAAAATTAATATTGGTAAAATAAAGAGTCAATGTTATATAAAAGAAAGGTAACTTAGATACAACAAGCTTATCTTGTAATTTTTTTCTAAATTCAAACCCTGACTTTGCACTGACTTAATATTAACATTCCTCCCTAATATTCTCCATTCTGAAATTGTTTGAAAACAATAGAAGGGCAGAACCAAGATGGCAGAGTAGAGGCAGCAATTCAGCTGAACTCTTCTAACAACTCCCTTCCAAACAACTTTGAAATAACACCTCAAATCAAATTTTGGAGTGGCAGAGCCAAAAGGTCAGAGTAAGACAACTAGGAGGTTGGCAGCAGAGTTAAGAGACTGTAAGGGGATCAGACAAGGGGCTAGAAAGAAATTACAGGGGGATCCTTTGCTGGTACTGGGTGCAGCTGGCACTGTTTGGCAACTCTATTGCCTATAAGGAGTTCTGGGTCACAGTTCCAGGGCAGAAAGGAGTGCTTGTGGTCAATCATAAGGGAGCAAGGGCCCTGTTCTCAGTTATAAGGCAAGAAAGAAGTAGCACTTGTTGGAGAACAGGGACCTTTCCTGGGTAATGACCAGGAGAACAGTGACTATACCTCTCCCCAGATTAGATCACACCACTTAAGCTGGGTATAGAAATTTATCTTTCCCAATTGGGAAATAAAAGGGAAATGGGGTAAGAGAAATAGAGGAAGAGGGGGATGAAAAAGGGAGGATTAAAAGAGGAAGCAGTCAGAAGCAAAACAGACTTTTGAGGAGGGACACGATAAAAAGAGAGAGGAGGATAAACAGAAGAAAATAGGACAGACAGAAATACACAGTTGGTAATAACTGTGAATGTGAATGGCATGAGCTCACCCGTTAAAATGGAAGCACATAGCAGAATGGATTAGAAACCAGAATCCAAGAATATGTTGTTTGCAAGAGATACATGTAAAACAGAAAGACATACACAGAGTTAAAAAAAGAGGCTGGAGCGGAATTTATTATGCTTCACTTGAAGTAAAAAAGACAGGAAGAGCAATCATGATCTCAGACAAAGCAAAAGCAAAAAGAGACCTAATTAAATGAGAAAATCAGGGAAACTATATTTTGCTAAAAGGTACTACAAACAATGAAGTCATATCAAAAATTTTTACAGCAAGTTTCTCTGATAAAGGTCTCATTTTTCAAATGTATAGGGAATAGAATCAAATGTATAAAAATGAGAGCTATTCCCCCAACTGACAAAAGGTCAAAAGATATAAACAGGCAGTTTTCAGAAGAAGAAATCAAAGGTATCTATAGTCATGAAAAAATGCTCTAAATCACTATTGATTAGAGAAATGCATTTTAAAACAACTCTGAGGTAGTATCTCACAGATATAATAAATAACAAATGTGGAAGAGGATGAGGGAAAATTGATACACTAATAAACTGCTGGTGGAGTTTTGAACTGGCCCAAACATTCTGAAGAACAATTTATAACTATACCCAAAGGGTAATAAAACTGTACATGCCCTTTGACCCAGCAATACCACTACCAGGTTGGAACCCCAAAGATATTAAAGAAAAATGAAAAGGACCTGTATGTACAAAAATATTTAGAGTAGTTCTTTTTGTGGTGGCAAAAAAATGGAAATTGAGGGGATGCTCATCAACTGGGGAATGACTGAACAAGTTGTGGCATATGATTATGATTGAGTTCTATTGTGTTATAAGAAATGATAGGGGGGTAGCTCCAGAAAAAGTGAATTGATGCAAAGTGAAGTGAGAAGAACTGGGAGATAATTGTGCACAGTTGTAAGGATGATCAACTGTGAAAAGCTTGGCTCCTATGATCAGCACAATAATCTAAAACAATTCCAAAGGACTCATGATGAAAAATGCTATTCACCTCCAGAGAGAGAACTGATGAACTCTGAGTGAAAATTAAAGTATAATCTCGCTTTATTTTGTCAGGGTGTGTGTGTGTGTGTGTGTGTGTGTGTGTGCGTGTGTGTCTGTGTGTGTGTGTGAGTGATATGGCTAATACTGAAATACATTCTGCACGACTTCACATGTATAACTGATATACTGCTTGCCTTCTCCATGGGTGGGGGAGTGGTGGCAGGGAGGGAGAGTATTTGGAATTCAAAATTTTAAAAAGAAAGGAATGTTAAACATAAACAATATTTCTTAAATAGAATAAATGAAGCTTTTAGAGAGATCTTACTTTGAGATCTTATTTTCTACATTCTCATAAGAACTATAGCAAATATCATTTAAGAATAATGCAGGTTTCTTCTGCTATCAGAAGAAATTATTTCAGTTTAATACTCCCATGCAAAAAAAGAAAAAGAAAAAAGAAACAATTCATTTGGAGACATACAGCTAATCACTTTGTTATACACACCATGAGTGCTGAAGAACGATAAGGTGAAGCGACATGTAAAGTACGAAGCTGCTCTTCCAGACCAAGTAAACGTTCTTCCAGCTGCAGTTCTAGTTCCTGAAGCTCCATTCTGACTGAATTCCTCAAACTCTGAAGTTGATCAACTTCATATCTATCATTTTTAATTATATGTAAAAGTGTGAATGAAAGGGAGGTTTCAGCATTACGGTAATATTAGACAGACAACAACTAGAAAGAGCTAATAGTGGATTCTAAAAGTTCCAAGTTCCATAAGGAATGGTGATTAGGAAAACCTACTACTTTATTCACTTCCTACATAAAACCTCAAGTCTACATGCAACAAAATGAAACAAAAAGACACCTAATATAAAAGAGATGTTTAGTCCCTTCTATTCTCCATTTCACCCAGGAAATGAAATATAGCTTGCTAAGCAAAATAAGCAAACCGCTTACATCATTTTGGCAATTATTTTTACATCAAAAAGTCTAATTAAATAAAGAAGACAATATAGTCTTTTTTACCTCTCTTCTTCAGTCATATGATGGTAAACCATGGTTTGTTGACGTAACATCGCCAGTTCTAAATCCATCATTTGTGTTCTGAACAAATTCAGACTTCGCCTCATTACTTGTAGTTCCTGAAAAGTATTCTGAAATAAAACTGTTTTGCTGTAATATTCTGGCTTACATTTCACTTCTAAACTATGTAAAATATACATATTTTTAAGATATCAGAATCATTTAAAGTTATAAACTCACTTCATAAAGAGGTAGAATAGATGATCTCTGAGTAGAAAATGGGGCGGCAGCAGCAAGATCATGCCCTCTCATCAATGGATACTATACAAAGAGAATTTATGAAATTTTAAATTCCTATATCTCCTAATAGCTTAAAACATCTCTAAGGAAGTATAAATAAAGGAAAAAATTTGAGATCTATACCATTTACCTTATTCCTATTTTGCTTTGGTATAGCAAATAAATTTTTAAATTAATTTAAAATTAAATTTTTAAACAGGAACTAAGAGTTGGTCAACTTAATAACAAAACCAAAATCTTCCAAACATGTAACTCACTCAAAATCACAGAAAAAAAAACCTATGGATGTTAATCATGGTTTCCATTTGTATACTACTTAGCTAATTAACAAAGTATTTTACTCACAACAACTCTTGAGTTTGGCAATATAATATTCATATTCCCATTTTACAGGAAAAACAAAGGGCATTTTGAGACAGTGGCTATCCATCCTTTCAATCTTCTCTTAATGACTATCAATACCTCATATCACTTGTTGCCTGAAATATTACAACTGCCTCCAGTCTCACACCCTTTTAATCCATGTTCTACACAAAGTTGGTATTCCTCAAACACAGATCTGACCATGCCACTCCTCTGATTATGAAACCTCAATGGCTTCCTACTGTTTCTATTATAAACTATGAACTCCTGTTTGACACTGAAAGTCCTTCACCATCTGGCTCCAGATGTCCATCTGGACTGATTTCACATTACTCTCCCTCTTCCACCCTACATTTCAATAAATCTAATCTGTGGTCTTCATATACAATAGTCTGGGATCTATGCCTATGTTTAGGCTATCTTCTACTACCCATGTCTCTTAGAATTCATAATTCCCTCAAAGCACAGCTCAAATGGCACCTCATACAAGAGACCTTTTTTGATCCCCCAAGTAGCTACTAGTACTCTTCCTTGAAATTACTTTGCATTTGTCTGTGAAAATGTTGATTTCCCCCCAAAAGAAAGTGAACCTATGAGGCTACTGGCTCCTTTTTTTTTAAGCATAGTGTCTGGCATCTAGTAGGTACTTAATAAACATTTGTTGAATTATCAATATATTATAGTATAGCTGAGTATATGCTATGCACTTTCTATTTTGTAAATGCTATTTGGTAAATACAAATAAGACCTAAGACAACAAATTTTTAAAAATTCAAATTTAAAAACAACTTTTTTTCTTTACCTGAGAAAGATTCTGCAGTGAATTTCTGATATCATGTAGTACTCTCCGTAACTGCATTTCAATGGCAGAAGGAGGATTCACAGAACATGAACGATAAGAATAGTTACTAGGTCTGTGTGAGTATGGGCAACCCAAATGAGGGCCTATGGCACAACAGGAGGCACCAGACATGTTTGGAACACTGTGAGTACTAAGTGTTCTCATGTGCTCACACAGAGGTCTTTCTTGCCAGTCAGAGTGGACAGAATGAAGTGAACAGGTAGACTGTGAGATTGGCGCTGGGATACATAAACGGTTACAAGTTCTACTATGATTTGATTCCTCCACCAACTTGTTGATCTCACACTGTGAAGTTTCTTTTTTCACAGATGGAGAGATGAAGAGTGTAGATTTAACTAGAGAATGGCTATCTTGTTCAACTGCCTCATTTTCTAATTCCCGTTTCTCTTCAGGTGTATATTTAAAGGTAAAGGAAGGTGGACTACACCTAGTCTCTTTTCCTGGAGACAATCGGACATTTACAGAAGATACAACCTTTACAGGACTCAGTAAGGTGGTAGGTAAAGACTGAGATCTTCTTAGGGGATATCCAGACTTTGCAAATAGGTACTTTTGTTTTAACAAATCTTTGGATTTTATCAGACTACGCCCTACTCTGGGATCAGAGAGATTACAGACTTTCATTTGAGCCCTTTGTAGAGCTACATTAACTCTATCAATTGAAGAAGGAGAATCAATAGTTTTTTCAGAGCTCAGATGATCACATTTGCCCTCAATAGAAGCCAATGATTTAAGAATGTGGTGTGTTGTATACTGGGTAAATTCATAGTCATTACTTTTATCTACATCACTTTCAGTACTTGGGGCCTGCGGTACAGTACGTGTCTCTCTTGGAGGTAAATCATCTTCACTTTCAGTAACAGGACCTCCTTGATTAGGGGCAACCTGTTCACTTCCTTTACTCTGTACATTCTCACATATCAGGAGGTTCTGATTATCTATCTTTCTCTTTTCAACAGTTGTTGCTATCTTCTCTTTTCCTCCTAGGAGATGTATGAGAGATTCTTCCTCAGAGTCATTAAAGTAAGGCTGGTCTTTTGCAGGTGGTGTTATAAGGTCTTCACCAAGTGATGTAACTGTTGTCTCACTGTCACAGCTATCAGCACTGCTTCCCATAGCTTGCAGAGGTTCATGAACCTGTGAAGGACATATAAGGAGAGTGGATGCTGAATAATACAAAATACAACTGCTGACTGACAGGAGATTTTTATATTAACATTACTAATGTATTGGAAAGTAAGGCAATATGGTATAGGAGCAAGAACACTGGATTTGAAGTCAGAAGACCTGGGGTCAAATGCTGATTCTGTCAATCATGAAAAGGCCCCCTGACTCTTAAATCCTTAGTTTCCTCAACTCTAAACTGTGAAAGTCAACTGGATGATCTCCAAGATAACTTCTAGCTACAGTTCTAATAAATTACACAATCACAATTTGGCAGTGGAAGAAAGGACCCCTGAGCCTTCAACTTGAAGTGTAATTGAACCCTTCTATATGTACTGTCTCCCACTATTAGAAAGTGAGAGCAGCAACTATCTTGCTCTTCTATTTGCATTCCTAATGCTTAGCAAAATACCTGAGGCACATGAATGCTCATTTATTCATCATGTCTAACCTATTCCTGAAAGGAATCCCCTACTGTGTTCTAGAGTCATGAAAAAAAATAAGGTTCAAAAGCAATTTCAGTATGGAATTGATCTGAATAGATTCCTAATTTAAATCATAATAGAAATGAACAGTAGTCGTGCTTTACAGCTGCCATAGATTTCACCTTTAAAAATGAATTTTAATTTGGTTCCATGAACTGTCACTAAAAAAATGGCTGCTGATACAGGAAGAAAGGTAATAATATGTACACTGTACTAACTTCACAAAAATTTACTTAAATTTGACCCAGAAATGATAGAAATTAGCCTAGATTTCTGCTCAAGTTGCAAAGATTTCATTTCTAAAGTGAAATCTGCAAAAGTGAAGAATAAAGCAAATCCTAGTTTCAAATATCTTTGTTTATTCACTCTATTTTGGCATCTTGTCATAACTTTGTAAAGACATTTATAATGGACACTGACTCATTGTGGCTTTAAAAAAAAAGCCCCATGAAATCATAATACTAGCTCACATAAAATCACCAGTATTAAGAAATTTCATATTTCTAATTTTATAACAATTATTACTTTTTGTACTTTTCCAATATGCATACATCTACACAGGCCTATACATATTTTAACATTTGAGGACAACATATCAACTTCATGGGATAAAATAAGTTTTTCCCCCAAATTAGATATCTCCTATACTAATCTAAAATTAGTATTGATAAGTACCAAGCAAAATGTTTAAAACCCAAAATTAAAGTTATAAAGATTTTGCAATATATAATAAAGTAACGGTTCATAGAAATGCACATGCATTATGTTCTGAGAAATTATGTAATTATACTAGTGTTTGAATCCACCCAAAATAGCAACTTTTAACAAGTAAAAAAGAATGTCAACATTAAAAAGATTAATAAAATTCATAACTAGGAATGAGATTCTGATATGAAAAAAGATTTTCAAAAAGCAAGGAGTCAGTTTACAATGTACATGCAAGATTACTCTATGCTGAGGATTCACAGATCTGTATATACAGCCCTAGTCTTTCTCCCGAGCTTCACCATACTGCCAACTGGACATTTTCACTGGGATGCCTTCGATTTATCATTCAACATATTCAAAACAAACTACATTTTATTTTTCTTTGTATTTAATACCCTTATATTACACACAGACACAGACACACACACACACACACACACACACACACACACACACACAGTGTTCCTAAAGTCTTAATGCAGTTTAAACTGTTTAAACTGAATAATTAAAGCATAAATTGCTCTAAGACTTTTGGGATACCTTGTATATTTGTTTGTTTTCTCTCCCATTAGAACGTGAGCAGCTTAAGAATATGGACTGTTTCATTCTTTGTATTTGTAACCCTGAGACCTACCACACTGTCTGGTATGTAGAAAGTAGTTAATAAAGCTTGCTGAATTGAATATAATAATAGTTGGCATTAATACAGCATTTTATGATTTATGAAATATTTTCCATTCATAATCTTATTTGACCCTAAAACCAGCTCTATAAAGAGAAAAAGTAATGAAGAAATGAATTATCTGCATTTTGCAGATGAAAATATACTTTAAGTATATAATCAAAATACCTCAGGAGGTAGATGGAAAAATGGAATGGTCAGAAGCACACAGGTGGGCACGTGTATAAAGGATGGAGAACAATTTTGCTTAGCTGAAACGGTGGAAGATTTGTGTTACAAATTAAGTAGGAGTATAGGTACAAAAAATGAGATGGGAAGGTACATAAAATGCTGGAGAATTATGTAGAAGATAGCAGAATAGAGTTTGTTACTTTAAACATTACTTACGTAGAGTTTTTTTAACCTAGAAAAGTATAACTGAAAATAGTGTGTGAGAAAGATTGTTAGAAATAATTGTATCAGATGAATTGAAAAGAAAGTTAAAGGTTAGGGACATATGGAAAGGAAGAAACCTAAGTAGGAAAAATATATACTTAGAGACATTAAAGTACTACTAATCCTGACAGACCAAGGATTAAAACCCAGTTCTTTGGACTCCATCCAGTTCCTGTAGTTCTGTAGCATAGCTATAAGGTACTGCACTAGGAAGTGAGAGACAGAAAGTTGAAAAATCACATAGAGTCTGTATTCTCAAGGAACTCAAAATTTGGTTGTAAGTAGGAAGATACAACATAAAACAAATGAATATAATACAAAATAAAACAGAGCAAAGTTTAAGAAGAGATCTAGGTAGTGTTTTAATAATTTCTGAGGTATGGGAGATAATCACTTTTGGCTGGGAATCTGGAGAGTAGAAAGGTAAAATTAGGGAGTGCTTCAAAGTGGTTCTTAACTGAGGACCCTTGAACTTTATTTTTTTAATCTTTTATTTTTTTCCAATTCCATATAAACTCATTTTTTAACATTTTTTAAAAATTTTGAGCTCTAAATTCTTTCCCTCCCTCCCTTCCCCCCTACCTAAAACAGCAAGTATTTTGATATAGGTTATACATGTGCAGTCATGCAAAGCGTATTTCCATATTAGTAATGTTGCAAAAGAAAACAGACTGCCCTCCCCCTGAAAAAAATATGAAAAAAAAATAGCACGCTTTGATTTACATTCAGCCTCCATCAGTTCTTTCTCTGGAGGTGGATAGCATTTTTCATTTAAGTCCTTCAAAACTGTTTTACATCTCTGTATCGCTAAGAATAGTCAGGTCATTTATAGTCGATCACTGTACACTATTGCTGTTACTGTGTACAATATTCTCCAGATTCTGCTCATTCCACTTTGCATCAGTTCATGTAAATCTTTCCAGGTTTTTCTGAAACCAAATATCTGTCATTTCTTATAGCACAATGGCATTCAATCACAATCATATACCACAACTTGTTCAACCATTCCCTAATTGATGGGCATCCCTTCAATTTCCAATTCTTTGCCACCACAAAAAAAGAGCTGCCATAGATATTTTTGCATGTATAGGTCCTCTTCCATTTCAGACCTAATAGTGCTATTGCTGGGTCAAAGGGTATGTATAACCCTTTGGTCATGAATTTGACTTAAAAAAAACTTTAATAATTATATTCCAATATAATTGTTTTCCTTTGCAACCCTTACATTCTGAGAAGGCACACATATTGCTCCAGACCACCAAAGATGCAATGGCATAAAAAAGGTTAAGAACCCTTTTCCTAAAGAGAACTAACTTGTCTAACATCATACAGCAACAGCAAAAGTCCGATTAGAACTTTACCCAAGTCTGTCTTTAATGTTCAGCATTCTTTCTCTTGAACCAGGCTTCTTCCTTTGCTTATATGTGAACCTCTAACTTCCTTTTCCAATCCATCCTACACACAACTATTTCTAGTAATGTTTCTCAAACACCATTTTCAATTATGCTTTTCCAGGTAAATATTCTATAGTAATGTTTAAAATAATAAACTTCATTTCTTCTATCTGTTCTTCAGTGCTCCAATATTTTCTATACCTTCCCATTTCATATTTTGTCACTATTATAACTAATTCACAACACAGATTCTCTACAATTCCAATTAAACAGTCTTATTTTTCATCCTTTATATACTTGCCACCTTTATGTTTCTGACCATTCATCCCATTTTTCTATTTATTTTCTCCCTGCTGCCCTCCCTCTAAATATATGGATCCAAAATTAGCTAAGGAAGGTTTTCCTGACTCATTCCATCCCATTCTGATTATTCTTTAATGTTTCCCCTTTCCTGTTGATCCTTATATCCTCCAAGTTTATTTTACTGTTATCAATAAATTAATTTTCAGTCACCGATATTTTTGAAGATGATTTAAGTTTTTTAATGAATACACACTATGTACTCCTAACCAGGCCATTAGTTCCATGAGGAAAGATACTATCTTTTTGTGAACATTTCAAGTCTTATATCATAGAAAGCAGTATGACATTTAGTATACAAAATATAGTGCCTAATGAGAATTGTTGAGGGCCTGAAATGATTCATTAAGGAAAAAAAAACACTACCAATACTCAAAAAACACAATTAGGATAGGAAACATAATACAAAATATATAACTTAGTTGTTAGAAGGTAAACTATTGAAATAATCTTGGCTTTCTAGAAGTCCCAAAACAAAAATGAAGAACTTATAAAGTTCAGACAGAGAGTTTAAATGATTACCAAAACAGGAGTTTTTAAAAAATGAAAACTTAAGAGTCAGTATGCAGATGGTTGGGTAAATAAGTTTATCTAAATGCCAGAAGGAATTATGGCCTCAATGTTAAGTTACAATAGGAGAAGTTACCAGATGGGACCAGGTCCTAAACAGAAAAATTGTAGTGGCATATTTTGTTTAGAATGAAGAAAGTGTATCATGATAACCACTGAATTATAAACTTCTTACCTGAAGGTGATTAAGTGAAAGGCAATCTGTAGAAGAATCTTCAGCAAAACCACTGCTATCAGAATGCTGACTTGCAGTACGCAATAGCTGATCTACCAAAAAAAAAATGCTTATGAAAATCTTTAATTCAGACATTGTTACAGAAATATAATTTTATACTAATATTACTGAGCATAAGTTTTGTTCTGAGCTATATAAAATATTTTCAAAAGTTAAAAGCTCATCTAGATTTTCCATTGAATACTAAACCTTAAGGGGCTCACATGCCTGTTACATTAAAATATTTATCACTGACACAAGTCAGAAATCCTTTCAAATGTTACTATTAGGAATAAGCTTTATGTTGATTTATATTCTTAAAGAAGAATCAGCTGAAATGAAAAGTAATTCTAAACTACATACAAAAAAGAAAATCCTAATTATGTAAGTATACTTACGGGCTCAATGAACCACAAAAACTCCAGCAGAGAAAGGGGAGAGAAATGGGATAGTAACTGTCTTCACAGAAAAGTCTGTGTGAATCTTAACATAGTGAAAAACTGGTTATAAATTTTGTATAATGATTTTTAAGAAAAGATTCCCACCTCTTTATTAGCCACTTCCTTTATTGCAAGTATCACTGTTTTTGAGGCTTAAAAAGAGCTGGCAATTTTGCTTTAGCTACATTCTCAAAAGCAAATGTAAGAGGCCTCAAAATCAAAGGTACTTTATAATGGGCTAATGATTTATAAATAGGGATGGGAGAAAGGCTTCAGTGCCAATCACCTTGTAACAGTGGTTTGAAGAGATTTTAACCAAGTTAATTAACTACTGGTTGTGTGTTAGGCAAGGCTCTGTATTTTCTAAACAAGGGGCCCTACTTGACATTTTAACAAATAAGGAGTGCAGAATACCATCATATTTTCAAGTTCTAAAAATGCAGATGGTAGTTAATAGCCTTACCACTCTGATCCCTACCTTCCCATGGTGGTAAAATCTAATGCCTAACCAGAAAAAAGAAATGAATATGACATGGAAAAGAAAAGAGAAGGAGCTTAAGAATTTCATTACTAACACAAAAAAAGATCATCTTCTAAACAATAATGTAACAAATACACATTAGTTCTTGATTTTCATCATATATTCTCATACATATATTCCTGATGCTGACAATCACATAAAATTCCATTTCCAAATCGGTTGACATTTTGGCAGTAGCCCCAAGGAACAAATAGCTATAACATCTGATTACCTCTTTTTAATTTGGTAAGACCCAGCTGGCAAGTGGCTGAAACATGTGGTGCTTCTCCCTCTGTACTTTGAACCTATGGAAGAGATTCAAATCATTAAGAGTCAGAATGTTCTACGGCAAATAATGAGAATAGATGCTTAACAGCAACAGGACATAAGCTAATTTAAGTAAAAAAAGTCCAATAACATTTATGGATGGGTTGCCAAGGGCTGGAGAAAGTGACCTATGAGAATGAAACCACAAATCAATCCATCAAAGCTGCTGTTATATTTTAAAAGAGATGAAACAAAGTTCATCTTTTAGTTGCTGGAATCCCTGATAATTCAATTTAATAATTAAACAATTGTGCAGTTAATTACTACAAAACAAAATAATAGTTTCTAGTGTCATAAGCCATCAAATAAAAATAACTGAACATATAAACAATTGTATTTAATGATGAAAAAATCAATATTAAACAGAACACAGAATCTTATGACAAAGTCTCTTTTTAAAAGTAAAACTTCTGTTAAGTAGAAGCAATCCTAGGGATGAGAAGAAATACTAAGTATCTGCTATGTGCCAATCACCCTGTTAAGTGTTTTACAAGTATTATCTCCTAACAGCTCTGGGACATAGGTGTTATTATTATCATCCTTACTTTTCCAGTTGAGAAAACTGAGGCAGACAATGGTAACATGATTTACCCAAGGTCACACAGCTACTAAGTGTCTGAGGCTGCATTTGAACTCAGGTCTTCCCGACTCAGAGGTCCTATCCTCTGTGCCACCTAGCTGCCTAGGAAAAAATGCTGCAGGGGCAAGCCGCTTATTTTGTCCCTAACTTCCTTTTCTGGGAGTATCCAGTTAGAAACTAGACATGGTGTATATGCCTCTAGGTAAAGTGTAGAAATGGTAACTCTACCCTTACTGTCCTCTCAAAGTTTATTGGGACTTGAGTTATCACAGATTAAGTAATTATGTATCATGAGGAATAGTACCTTCTAGCAGTAAATAAAAGTATTTCTAAAAAAAGTATTATTAAAAAAAGTCTCAGGGGCAGTTAGGTGGCACAGTGGATAGGGGACCAGCTATGGAATCAGGAGGAACTGAGTTCAAATTCAGCCTCAGATACTTAACCCTTACTAGCTGTGTGACCCTAGGCAAGTCACTTAACCCCAATTGCCTCGTCCCTCCCAAAAAAAGGCTAGTTAGATTCCTTTGTTTTACATTACAATTTATGGTCAGTTTAAACATCTGGAGAGTACAAGTTTTAAATTATCAGCAACTGCCATCTAGTTCCAGTTCTGTCCTCACACCAAGAACCTGTGAAAAGGGGCCTTCTAGCATACTTTGATGGATCTCTTATCAAACCTATGATGCTGTATGTACGCATATTAATGCATGCATGCATTCATTCAGGTACATTCAGGTACCCTGGTACCCTTTCCAAATACTGACCATGGCCCCTACTAGCCTGTTCAATTTACATCTACAGTTTTCTACAATTACTAAACATATTCCAATAAGATTAAAAAAAATCTCATCAAAACAGTAGTAGACAGGTAGCTGAGGTACAAAGGTGACAAAATAAGGTTAAATTTCTTCCCCTCTGATAATGAGACTTGATGCCCACCCTCTCCCACACACATACTATGAAAAATTTTAACAATATAGACCTTAGAATGTATATACTTAGTGTTATATTTTGATATTTAGACAGTTATGGAGGAAAATAACATTAAAGAACTAAATAAAACATCAGTTGAATATAATACCTAATTAAAACTTTTGTCACTATAAGGTTGTTTTCTTTTTTCCTCCTTAGGCAATTGGGGTTAAATGACTTGCCCAGGGTCACACAGCTAGTAAGTATCAAGTGTTTGGTCTGAGGCTGGATTTTAACTCAGGTCTTCCTGACTTCATGGCTAGTGCTCTATCCACTGCGCCACTTAGCTGCCCCCCACTATAAGGTCTTAAAAACTATACAAATCTAGCTATAAGATATGCTTAAGTCTTTTTGTTGGATTATTTATAAAACCAAATATCTTTAAAATAGAGAGAACATTCATTTAAGTAATAATTTCAACACTAATTTCATTATTTAAGGATATTTAATCTCAGTGGCCCTATCCTGTAAAATTTAAATGGAAATAGTACAGCAAATTTCAAAAAGGTTGATAAAACAGGAAACATACACATGTGTATATTCCAAACAGTAGGTGGGAGCCTCTTAATATATATTAAGTCTGCAGTTCTAAACCACAGAATGCTTCTGAGAATGTACATATTAAATATTGTACATATTAAATTGTACATATTAAATATTGTACATTATTATACATATTAGATATAAGAATGGCATATTTAAATCTAAATCTTAACAACACTATCTAAAAAGCCATCATGTCATTAAACATAAAGTTGATTAGTAGCATGATATAATTTAATGATATATACGTACACCAAGAAGGTTTACAACAGCTTCATCAAAATACAGAAACACAGAATGTCAAGAGCTGGAAGGACCTAAAGAAATTATCAACCTATTACCTATCCTTTTACAGTGAAGAAACCAAAGCTTATAGAGGCAAGATGACTTGCTCAACTGGCTCTATATTGAAAAACCGACAAATTCATTTCTACAGGATTGTACCAGGCAAAGATGTTATTACACATATCTAAAAATTCATGACACTTTATTCCCTCAGAGTCTTATCTACAACAGTTTATGATCATCTAAAATATTTGGAGGACATTATTGTTTGAAACTATCAACTCCAAATAACATTTTCAATTACAGAAATGTGAAAAATAGATTGAACTTTTGTAAATACATAAAATTCGCAGTGTTATATAACTGGTTTTTCCCCCCCAAAACCGCACATAGGAAAAAGTTCAACAGGAAAGGCTTTGTTTAATTCAAAAGCCAACAAAATGCATTTTATTTTCATACTCAACAAAAGATCTATTATTAGGTTGTATTCAAGTCTAGACTTTTTGTTTTTGAAACATTCACTTTAAGTAATTTTAACTCAGCACTATTATCACAAGAAAAATGTGCCAGGAACCTCAGCTTTCAACTTAACATTACAATTTACTAAACTATAAAGTTTCGGTTTTTCAATTACATAAATGCATTTTGCAAACTGTAAGGTCCTCAGTAAATGCTAGATAGTATCCTTCTATTTGCAATCTGTCATAAAACAGAATAACTGAATCTCTAAACAATGCATTACCTCAAATAAAATGCTGTAAATAAAACATCATCAATAGACAATATTTGAAATAGATACCTATTAAATTCCTCCCCTTCTTACAGATTCTATAAATATTAAAAGAATTATTCTTCTAAATTAAATATTTACAAACATCACAAATTTTAAAAACATTTAGTAACTTATTAAAACAGAGCAAAAAATATTTAAAATGTCATAATTTTATGCAACATGTGCTACCACATTAAGCAAAAAATGATATGGAATGGATATATATATTACTGAAGTCTTTTCTGGCTTTTGGAAAAAATTTTATCACCAGCAAAAATTGGCTCCTCTGGTTTTAATTTGCTTTTTTAGTCATGGTTTATTAAGACCTCTCTCTTAACAGATAAGGTAAATGATGACAATTGTGGATATAGTACTTGTCACAACTTTGGATCAAAAGCTCATTAAAATCTCTGGAAAAAAATGTACTAACAATTTTTTTTTACATATGGTACTGTGTATTAACTTTATTTCTTCAAAAAAATATGTGTACTTATGCCATAATAATGTACTCTGTAAAATGTACCAGAAACTACAATGGAATGAAGTAAAAAATAATACAACCAAATACACGTAAATGTTTTTTTTTCCTTCCAGTTTTACAGTTAATATTGATTCTGTTCATTGACAAAATGATTACAAAAACACTGGAACATTTATGTAACACTATTCACTATCTGCATAATTTGATTGGTTACCCTTCTAGGGCCTTCATAAACTATCAAACAACTTCAGTCAAGAGTTTAACCAAAAAGGTGATCCAAAGTACAATGTCAGGTTTCAATGTAATACTCCTACAGAGAAAAACAACAACTATAGTTAATAAAGGCCTATTTGAAATGTTTGTACATTACATTTTTAAGGGTTGTTTTTTATTATGATTTGAAAAAATTCACATCCATTTTTAACATCAAATTCCTCTTTTAACCTTAATGTTCAATCCCAAAATAAATTGGATTCATAGAGCTACAAGGAATCTGGAAATCAAAACACTACATAAATGTAATCTATTCTTGTTATTTGGGCAAATCACTTGAACTCAGATTCTTTATACATAAAATAAGGAGGCTGTAGTGAATTGTCTTTTAGGTCCCCTTCAATTCTAAATCTTTAATCCTATGATCTAATCTAACCCTCTCATTTTATATATGAAAAGCATATATGCATATACACACACAATATGTGCACACATAAAACATATACACACTGTGTATATTTTATATATAAAATGACATAAACCCTTTTGTTTTATATATGAAAACTAAGGTTAAAAAGGTAAAAGTGAGAGAAAACATGGTACACAATGGAGAAAGTGCTTCAATGTGGAAGCACCTGAATTCAAATATTGTCACTCCCACCTATCAGATGTGTGACCTTGAACAAGTTAATCAGCTTCTTGGGCCTCAGTTTCCTTATTTCTAAAATGAGGGCATGGTACCAAGTAACCTATAAATCCCTTCTAGATCTAATTCTATGATCCTGTGAAAGTGACTCTGCTCAATGTCAAAATTTAAATTTAGTAAAAACTATCTTGAACTTAAAGTCAGAAGATGCAAGTTAAAGTCCCAATTCTGCCATTTCTTAGTTATCACTCCTTAAGCAAGTCACATGATTTTCTAGTTTCAAGAGTCTCTGTCTACAAAACAGGCAAACTGGACTAGATGACTTCTAAGGTCTAATTCAGCTCTAATATTCTATGATTCTCTGATACTATTAGTGGCAGAGAGAGAATGTGGAAGAATTGGACCAAAAATGTGGGCATCAACTGCCATTTCCATCAATGACTTCTAATATGAGCTCTGATCTTATGCTTATTTCAAAGGTTTTGC